AGGGGCTCACCTTCCAGCCCCAAAGTTTCAATCAAGGCAATGAGTGGTTGACTCCTCTGTTGCCTTACGCTCCTCCGCTGCTTTTGCAGAGCCTGCTGGGAGGTGAAAGGCTCCCTGTTTATCTCGATTGGCTTGAGCTCTGTCAGAACCGGCATCTGTTGGGTGCAGAGGTTGGCTCACCGTGAATGGTCAAAGGGGAGGTCGGTGGGAAGTGTTGCACTCCAGGTCCAGAAGAAGCCCTCTGACTTAAAACACACCACACGAAGAGTGAAGAAACAAATCTTCTTTTATTGAAGCTTAGTAAATAGCCAGAAGAAATAAATGGTTGTAAGAAAATAAGAAGATTTCAAAAAGTATTAGTCCCACTAGCTCCTTTTGCTTATCTTCAATAAAAAAAAAAGGATTGTTTTCCTACTCAACGTGTGGTGTTTTGAAGTCAGAGTGTTCTGTCGCACGCTGGGCCTGAAAAGAATTTCCTTTAGAACAGGAAGTGCAACCTTTGCCCAGTGGGAAGCCAGGGGGCCCAAGGAGAAGTTCTCAGAGGTTTTCCACCACAAATAGTCTTTAGATGGCTTGTGAAGTATAACAAAGTTCTTTCTTAATGAACAATCAAACAGAAACTTCTCTTGTCTTCAGAAAGTTAAACAAATGCTTCCAGGCTTTTAAGCAACTGGTGACTTCCTAAACTGGCCCACGAAGGACAGGCAACTGTCTTCAATAACTTCTTATTTACTTTAAATGGAAAATCCCCTTTTTAACTTCTCCCAGGCTGACTGTAATCTAACCCTTACTGATGTGGGCTCTGCTACCGGGTCGAACTGCGTCTCGAAGCACCGAGTGGACCTACCAGTAAAGGTTTAGATATTCTCCAGCTGGAGTTCTTTGGTCTTTAGGGCTGTTTTCCTGGAAATCTTTGGAGACACTTAGGACTGTTCTCCCCTGGAAGATCTTGGATGCTCTTAAGACTGTTTCCCCCCGGAAAGTCTTAAGGGTTGAAGCTTTTGTATAGGGGAAGCTTGCACACATCCTGTACATTAGCTTTCCTTGCTGAGACTAACTAAAAATGGCTCCTTTCCCTTCCCAACTGCCCTGAGCAAGGTGCGGGACCGAAACTTAACGATGATGGACAGGTGACTTGCCCTATGACTGCAACCAAAGGAAGCCACCTATCTGCAGAGTCCCTGAAACCTTGGGATGCAAGCAAACATTTAATACAAAGCAAACAAAATTGGAGCTCCTGGTACAGCCGTACCAGCACACAGAGGGTTATTCCTGTTTTGGAGTGCAACAGCTATTCTATTGTATTTGTAATTGCATTGGATCCCATTTGTTATTGCATTGAATAATTCCTCTTTGGCTTTGCTTTCTCCCTTCCAGCTGGCCTCAGTTCATCCTTGCCAAAGGCCAATGACCGTCCTTCCAGTGAGGGCTACCAGAGGGGCCCCGGTGGGCTTCCACCTTCTGCTCTTCGATCTGGAGAAAGTGTTGGAGGGGTTGCATTCCCCACCACTGCACTGCCAGCGGCCCTCCCAACGTGGCAGCAATGGCGGGCACTTGATAAGGGCCAAGACCTCGGTGAGGAAGAGGAGGACAACGCTGCGGATACGCAGGATCCGGGCCTCAGGGCCCCTCCCTCCTTTGGGGGCCACAGGGGCAGAGAGCACAGTTGTGGTGGGACATGGCAGGGGCCATGCTGGGAGCCCCAAGAAGAGCAAGAGTGCCACGAGGAAGGCCAAGAGACTGACCCCAGGGACAGGGCCAGTGGGGCCGGTGTCCAGCGCAGAGGTGGCCCGGTTGCTGTTGTCCTGTCTACTCCCTTGGGGAGTCGAGGGGTCGCCAGAGGGTCCCTCCTTACAGGAAATAGGTCTTCGGAGGGCACTCTACCCGCTGTCCCTCGGCCGACTCTCCAGGGGAGGCCACCTAGCCCTGGACACTCCTCTGCGGCGGAGGGCACAAGCCGGGAACCTCTTCTCTGGCCGTGTGCCAGACCTGTGCGAGAAGTACAGGAGCATCGCCCAAAGCTGTGACCGCGAGGGGTGCCTGGCCCTAGATTCCTTGATAAGCCGGATGTGCCTGGTCAAGAGAGGGCTGCGGGCGCCTCCTGAAAGCACCAGGTAAACACTTTCTCCGGATATGGTTAACTGTATTTCATCACATAATAGTCGCACCCCCATTTTTTGGTATACAAAAATTGGTATTTTTGTATTCGTCACATAAGAGCCATAGAACCATATAATAGTCGCATCCCCATTTTTTGGGTAGCAAAATTGGTATTTTTGTATTCGTCACATAAGAGCCATAGAACCATATAATAGTCGCACCCCCATTTTTTGGGTAGCAAAATTGGTATTTTTGTGTTCGTCACATAAGAGCCATAGAACCATATAATAGTCGCACCCCCATTTTTTGGGTAGCAAAATTGGTATTTTTGTGTTCGTCACATAAGAGCCATAGAACCATATAATAGTCGCACCCCCATTTTTTGCTTAGCAAAGCTGGTATTTTTGTATTCGTCACATAAAAGCCATAGAACCATATAATAGTCGCACCCCCATTTTTTGGGTAGCAAAATTGGTATTTTTGTATTCGTCACATAAGAGCCATAGAATCATATAATAGTCGCACCCCCATTTTTTGGGTAGCAAAGCTGGTATTTTTGTATTCGTCACATAAAAGCCATAGAACCATATAATAGTCACACCCCCATTTTTGGGTAGCAAAATTGGTGTTTTTGTATTCGTCAAATAAGAGCCATAGAACCATATAATAGTCGCACCCCCATTTTTTGGGTAGCAAAACTGGTATTTTTGTGTTTGTCACATAAGAGCCATAGAACCATATAATAGTCGCACCCCCATTTTTTGGGTAGCAAAATTGGTATTTTTATGTTTGTCACATAAGAGCCATAGAACCATATAATAGTCGCACCCCCATTTTTTGGGTAGCAAAATTGGTATTTTTGTGTTCGTCACATAAGAGCCATAGAACCATATAATAGTCGCACCCCCATTTTTTGGGTAGCAAAATTGGTATTTTTGTGTTCGTCACATAAGAGCCATAGAACCATATAATAGTCGCACCCCCATTTCTTGGGTAGCAAAATTGGTATTTTTGTGTTCGTCACATAAGAGCCATAGAACCATATAATAGTCGCACCCCCATTTCTTGGGTAGCAAAATTGGTATTTTTGTATTTGTCACATAAGAGCCATAGAACCATATAATAGTCGCATCCCCATTTTTTGGGTAGCAAAATTGGTATTTTTGTATTCGTCACATAAGAGCCATAGAACCATATAATAGTCGCATCCCCATTTTTTGGGTAGCAAAATTGGTATTTTTGTATTCGTCACATAAGAGCCATAGAACCATATAATAGTCGCACCCCCATTTTTTGGGTAGCAAAATTGGTATTTTTGTATTCGTCACATAAGAGCCATAGAACCATATAATAGTCGCACCCCCATTTTTTGGGTAGCAAAATTGGTATTTTTGTGTTCGTCACATAAGAGCCATAGAACCATATAATAGTCGCACCCCCATTTTTTGGGTAGCAAAATTGGTATTTTTGTATTCGTCACATAAGAGCCATAGAACCATATAATAGTCGCACCCCCATTTTTTGGGTAGCAAAGCTGGTATTTTTGTATTCGTCACATAAAAGCCATAGAACCATATAATAGTCGCACCCCCATTTTTTGGGTAGCAAAATTGGTATTTTTGTATTCGTCACATAAGAGCCATAGAATCATATAATAGTCGCACCCCCATTTTTTGGGTAGCAAAGCTGGTATTTTTGTATTCGTCACATAAAAGCCATAGAACCATATAATAGTCACACCCCCATTTTTGGGTAGCAAAATTGGTGTTTTTGTATTCGTCAAATAAGAGCCATAGAACCATATAATAGTCGCACCCCCATTTTTTGGGTAGCAAAACTGGTATTTTTGTGTTTGTCACATAAGAGCCATAGAACCATATAATAGTCGCACCCCCATTTTTTGGGTAGCAAAATTGGTATTTTTATGTTTGTCACATAAGAGCCATAGAACCATATAATAGTCGCAGCCCCATTTTTTGGGTAGCAAAAGTGGTATTTTTGTGTTCGTCACATAAGAGCCATAGAACCATATAATAGTCGCACCCCCATTTTTTGGGTAGCAAAATTGGTATTTTTGTATTCGTCACATAAGAGCCATAGAATCATATAATAGTCGCACCCCCATTTTTTGGGTAGCAAAGCTGGTATTTTTGTATTCGTCACATAAAAGCCATAGAACCATATAATAGTCACACCCCCATTTTTGGGTAGCAAAATTGGTGTTTTTGTATTCGTCAAATAAGAGCCATAGAACCATATAATAGTCGCACCCCCATTTTTTGGGTAGCAAAACTGGTATTTTTGTGTTTGTCACGTAAGAGCCATAGAACCATATAATAGTCGCACCCCCATTTTTTGGGTAGCAAAATTGGTATTTTTATGTTTGTCACATAAGAGCCATAGAACCATATAATAGTCGCAGCCCCATTTTTTGGGTAGCAAAAGTGGTATTTTTGTGTTCGTCACATAAGAGCCATAGAACCATATAATAGTCGCACCCCCATTTTTTGGGTAGCAAAATTGGTATTTTTGTGTTCGTCACATAAGAGCCATAGAACCATATAATAGTCGCACCCCCATTTCTTGGGTAGCAAAATTGGTATTTTTGTGTTCGTCACATAAGAGCCATAGAACCATATAATAGTCGCATCCCCATTTCTTGGGTAGCAAAATTGGTATTTTTGTATTTGTCACATAAGAGCCATAGAACCATATAATAGTCGCACCCCCATTTTTTGGATAGCAAAATTGGTATTTTTGTATTCGTCACATAAGAGCCATAGAACCATATAATAGTCGCACCCCCATTTTTTGGGTAGCAAAATTGGTATTTTTGTATTCGTCACATAAAAGCCATAGAACCATATAATAGTCGCACCCCCATTTTTTGGGTAGCAAAATTGGTATTTTTGTATTCGTCACATAAGAGCCATAGAATCATATAATAGTCGCACCCCCATTTTTTGGGTAGCAAAGCTGGTATTTTTGTATTCGTCACATAAAAGCCATAGAACCATATAATAGTCACACCCCCATTTTTGGGTAGCAAAATTGGTGTTTTTGTATTCGTCAAATAAGAGCCATAGAA